CCTTAAAGTTAAATTGTTTCAATACAAATCTCTACTATCAATACGTAAAGTTCTTATAGTAATAATTCAAATATAGCCCATTTCTTAATAGCATATCTCTAGAATTCCACCTTCTTTCTTTTCTTCTTTGAGAATGGCAGAATGCAAAAATTATACTACTAATTATATTTATACTTTTAATTCCCTGAAAGTTATACTTTGTTCCTCTTTATGTTCCTTGCATATTTTTTTATATTATAAATTACTTAGTATTATTAAATTTTCATATGAGTATTTAGTAAGTTACTAGTTTAATATAATATAATGAATATAGTTTTTGTATTACTTCTCATGTAATATAGCTTTATTATACGCTCATTGCATTTATTTTACCCTTGTAGTTTTTAATTTTTTAATTTTGCTGCGTATTTTATTTATTTATTTATTTTGATTTTTAAAATTAATTGTTTTTTTGTTATGACACTTGTCAGCCTATCCTTGTTATTCTTTTTAGATTAGGATTTTTCTGGATATGACACTTGTCATCCTTTCATTATTTTGCCTCTCCTATTATATGTAGATAGATTAGTTAGTATTATTAAATTGTCATATGAATTTTTAGTAACTTACCAATTTAATATATTATAATGAATATAGTTTTGTATTACTTCTCATGTAATATAGCTTTTTTATATGCTCATTGTATGTCACGATCTGAAATTTTCCACCGACGGGACCGTAATGACGCCTAATATTTCACTTGCTAGACAAGCCAACGTTAGAGAATCATTAACCAATTTTTTATTTTCATTCAGTAAAAAAAATAATTAACTAAGATGGAATATAATAAGTGCGGAATATCATAAAATTTTATTAACCACTACCACCCGGATCTGGTGTCACCATTCATGAGCATTCTAGAATTTACGACAAGTAATAGTCTGAAAGAAATACAACTGTCTGAATGAAAGAAAACAGTAGGACATAAAAGATAGATGGGGACTTCAAGGTCTGTGAACGCCGACAGATCTACCTTGAGTCTCCGGACAGCAGACCAGTAGCAAATCTCGATCGATCAACCTGAGCCGGTATCAAAATCTACACAGAAAGTGCAGAGTGCAGCATCAGTACAACCGACCCCATGTACTGGTAAGTGCGAGCCTAACCTCGGCGAAGTAGTGACGAGGCTAGGACAAGACACCCACATATAACCTGAACAATATAATCATGTTAGTGGCAACAAAAGTAAATAAAGAAATAATGCAGAAATAATAGGAAGGGGACATACAGTGGAGAATACAACATAAAGAGTGAGAATAATGAAAAGACAGAATTAAACAGAAAATCCTTAAACGAATTGAGCAATTAAAATAGCAAAGAAAAATTGCACGGCATCACCCTTCGTGCTTTTACTCTCAACTTCACCAAGTAACAAATAAGACTGCACGGTATCACCCTTCATGCTTTTACTCTCTTTCTCACAATATAAATAATTCATGCACGGCATCACCTTTCGTGCTTTACACTCTTCCTCACAATATAATTAAATTATGCACGGCATCACCCTTCGTGCTTTACACTCTTCCTCACAATTTACAGAATCAATAACAACGGATAAAGAAAAGTATCACAAGAAATCAATATTTCATAAATGATTACTTTTACAATTTAACATCTCAACCTCGAATCAATATTCATAATTTTATCGACCTTGTGGAACCGGATACAATCCTTCCAACATTTCAACAACAACAATAAGCATGGATAGCCAGATTTAAGACTACAAATTTTCAAGAAATAAAATTTCACTCGCATGCTATGACTCGACCACAATGTATAGATGCTCGTCACCTCAACTATACGTCATATTCAACAACAAAACACGTAGCAAATATTCACACAATACCTATTCCCTCAAGCCAAAGTTAGACATAACACTTATCTCTCTCTGAAGGCTACTTAATTCTTAATCACAGCTATTCCTTTGGAATTCACCTCTAAACCACTCGTATCTATTAAAAAATGACTCATTAATATCAAATATTGCTAAAGAAATCAATTATATTTCATAAATTAAATTTTCAAAATTTTTCTCCAAAAAGTCCAACAAATCGACCATGGGCCCGCTTGGTCAAAACTCGAGGTTCGGACCAAAATCATTTTACCCATTCACCCCCGAGCCCGAATATATAATTGGTTGTGGAATCCGACCTCAAATCGAGGTTTAAATTCCCAAATTTCCGAAATCCCTAGTTTCTACCCTAACCCCTAATTCTACCATGAAAACTCTAGATTTTTTGGTTAAAAATTCAAGAAATGTAATGGGTAATTGAAAGAAAATGGTTTAGAATCACTTACCAACACTTTGGGGAAGAAAATGACTCTTGAAAATCGCCTCTACCCGTTTGGTTCTTGAAAATATTGAAGAAATGGCTCAAACCCGTGTTTGGAGTCTGTTTTAAGCCACTAGACAGGCCTTCATCGCGTTCGCGAGAGGCCTGTC